AATGTAATTTTAAAATATAAATAAATAAAATTTACTTGGTTAATTTAAAATATTATTTTTATTTAAAAAATATGTTTCTAAAATTTGTTTTAGAATTATATCAAAGTAAGAAAAAGAATCTTGTTTATAGTCGAAGTGAATCTTGATAATTAACAATATTTATATACAAATTCACAAATTTTTATTTTTTTTATAAACTGAGCACCGATTTGGATTTGAAATACAATAAGTCCGATAAGTCGAAGCAGTTCAGAGTTTATAGAAAAAATATATTTACAGATTTATGTATAAATATTATTAAGTACCAAGATTCAATTGAAAATAGAATTTTTCTCTTATTTAATCTTATTTCATTAAGTCAAAGCGTTATATTTTTTGTGTTATGAATTTTATGTAATCTTTTATTTTAATTTTCTGTTATCTTTTAATCATATTTATCTTGTGATAAACAAAAATTAGACCATTTAGGATATGTAAAATGTGTTAAATTTTCACACAAATTTTCCAGCTGTATTACTTTCGACAGACAATAATTCAATTGCTATAATTTTTCAACAGATACTCATCGAGCTGCGATCTTAAACATAATGACATCAACCACAATCAAGGATAAACCTCCGGTGATTACAGTATGCAAACAAGAATTATACGAGCATTGGCTGAAAAATGCTCCAAAGATTATGTTCGGTGAACATCAACTATCTATTGAAATAAGTGAAATCGATGAGTTCTTCATCCAGAAGGCCAAGAAAGATTTACGGGAGACGCCAGAAATTGTTGCTCAAGGTTTCAAGGAATTAAAAGAGCTGCTTGCAGGTAGCAAAAGTTTAATTGTATCAATATTATACTTCTGTTATCTCGCCAAATTGATGTCTTAGATTAAGGAACAAGCAGTAGCGTGTTAACCTATAGGTTTTTGAGGCTTGAGCTTTAGGGCATCGAAATGCCAAGGCGTCTGGAATCGTTACAATTTAAAAAGTAAATGTAAACTCAAAGTTAAGTAACACTGTATAATAACGATTGTCCCTGTTTCTAAACTTATTATAGTAGTTAAATGGATAAAAGATCAAAGATCAGGCTATCATCAGCAGATCTATTCTGTAATTCTTGAAAAATATCGTTATAATGCAGTTTTTTTATCTTGATGAAAAAGCAGTGACGTTATAATGATAATAAAACTTGCGTTAAGAATAATAAAATAGTTCTGCAGCACTGTTTTGTAAGAACAATGTGATAATAACGTAGCATTATTGTATTTCATGATTTCGGTAGCAATAATAAAGAGTTTGGATAATTATTTTAAAAAAGAAGTCGGTACTATTATACGTTACTTTTGAAAAGTGGTCTTTGCAACATCACTGGTTTTGTTATAGAAAATTTTGACGTTATCATCTCCAAAAAAGATCATTAGAAAATTATGGAAGTAGGCGTTTCTGATGAGAACACTTAAAGATCACAAGCCCTTGGGCGCAAATTTTATTAACGTGACCTTAGGGATGAGAAGTAAGAAAGAAAACCAGTATTCTATAAAGCAATTTGAATAATTAAACCTCCAATTTTCTTGTACAATAATCAGTTGAGAACTCGGACACTTGATATTCTTCATTTTCTTCTTGTAGAATATAGGAAGAAAATAAAACCAAGAAAATCATGCCCGAACACTTTTTCCTATGTATTTGTTTTTATTCTTCAACCGGTTTCCTACATATCATAAAACGAAAGTGAAATTAAGCAAAGTGTTGTTCTTGACATTTTCTTTCTTGTGATTTTCTAGTAATATTGATTTCACTTAAAAATTGCTCTTACCTAATTAGAGAAACGTAAGTTATCATTAGAACAAATTGCGTTGAATTTTATGTTTGCAAAATTTAAAGAGAAACTAAAAATAATTAATCCGCGCAGAGAGGCGCGATAAACAACAAAAAATTTCCTTTTTACGTAATATTTAATTATATCTGGTGTAATTCTAGCAAAATGCAATGATTTGCTCAATTAGACAAATTAGAATGATACTGCTGTATCATTGTAAAAAAATTATGTAATTCACAAAATAGACCGATCAATCTTTTTTTACATAACTTATAGAATATAGCGATTAATTCTTTTTATCCGAAGAATGTTAGCAAATGATCGAGCAATAGTACGACATTTTTTGACATCCAATTGAATCATTAAAACATAACTTTGAACTAATAACATAATTTTGTTAAATTGAATTTTAATATATAGATAACAAAAAAGATTTTTATGAGAAAAATAATGATTATATGATAAAGTCGTTTTAAATGTATTTACATATTTAATATAAAATTGATAAAATATATTTTATTTACAATTTGATAGAACAGAATATATCAAAATTAATATAAGTTTAGTGCACTCTATGTATTATAACCTAATTGGAATTAAAAATCACTGACTGAAGAATAACTCAATAGAGATAACGAGTTTTGCAATTCATAAATAAATATAATTATTTAATTATACTTTAAAAGTTGATTAGTCTTAACAGAGACAACAATTCTTACTTCAATAATAATATGTCTGCATTATATTACTTATTAGCGGAAAATAAGATTTTATTGTTAATATATATGATTCATATTCAAACCTCTTAGATTCTAATAGAATAGAATAGTCGAATTCGAATCTCTATGATGAATTGAGTCGAATCTTACTCGATTCTTATTCGAATGGTTCGCACATCTCTAGTTTCCAGAATAAAAATGAAATTTTATGTGTAATTACCACATATGTTTTGCAACGGTCAATTTAACAATGGTATATGAATATGGCAAATTCAACCGTATTCACATGAATCTAAAAATGAAAGTTGTTTGCGCCTGCAGCTTCGTAGTCTTGGTATTAATTATGATAATCATTTAAAAGAAATCTTTATTATTTATTAACAATTAACATTATTTATTAACAATTATTTATTAACAATCTTTATTATTTATTAACATTTAATGGAATGTTTTGGCTTACTTAGCTATCTTCAGCCATCAAAAAAAATTAATATCACAAAATAATTTTAAAATTAATTCATAAGAGATTACATGCAACAATCATAAACCAATATTTAACGACACTAATAATGTCCAATATTTAACGACACTAATAATGTGTGAAAATACGAGGCGCAGTATTTTTGCAAATTGTAATTTCTTCTTAAAGTTTGCTATTATTGTCGAAGTGTAATGTAATGTTGAACCAAGGAATTTCATTGCTATGTAGAAGTGGGGCAATCAAAGATATACAATATAGTTAACCGTAAAGAATCGTGTAAAGGCCCAAATATGTTTTATTACTCGAGGAAAAAAAATATATATGTGATTCTTAAAAATATTATTTTTGAATGAAATATCATTAATTTGAGCATGGATATTTAGACGTCTATTATTTTTTTTACAATCATTACATTATTGTTGTAAAAAATATATTTTAAATACGACGAAATAAAATTTTATTCTTAGCATAAGTCATTTTACGTATATATTTTATGTATTAGTACATATATAACAATAAAGTCTTTCTTATTCTTGACCTAATTTTATTTGCATAAGTTATACGCGAAATATTCTATACATATTAGAAAGAATTGGAATATAAACTTTTAATTTTTTTGTTTCTGTAGGAGAACCTGATCTGCAAGTACCGGACATAGATGACTTCTACATAATGTTCTTGCGACCATGTAAATGGTATGCGAAAAGCGCTTTCTCGCTTGTAAGTCATATCTCATAATATTTTCAAGAATTAATTTTGCTTCGAGTATTGCTTACATATAAAAATGACTGCAGTAATTAAATGCTCAGAACTTACATTACAAAAATCCTAAAACTATAAAATGTTTTATAAAAATTTATTTGCCTAATTTGGTATTGTGATTTTCCTGTATAGTGACTCAGTTTTGCTTACTGAATATAAAGAAAAAATCGAGAAGGTAACCACTTGAATTCCCGTCTGTCAAAAGTTCGATGAAGTCCGGTGAAGTCCGATAAAGTTTGATGAATTCCGATGAATTCTGATAAAATCAGATGAATTCCGGGCGAAGTTCGATGAATTCATGAATTCTGATGGAGTCCGATAAATTCTGGTGAAGTCCAGTGAAATCTTGAAATTCGAAGTCCAGATGTATATTTATTTTTTGAATGGTTACCTCTCGGGAAAAATTTAAAAGAAAACAGATAACAAAATTATTCAATTAATTGCAATGACTTATTATTAATATTAATAGAGAAGATTTGGACCTGTTGAACACTTTTTGAATAATGATTTGAAAAATATAGGCGCAAGATTTTAAAATATTATATACGTTATATTACACATTCTTTAGGTATTAACAATATATTATTCTTATATCAATATATTACTCTTATAAATAAGTTATTTAATTTTGAATAAAACTATCAAATGTGACAATTTTAGTCTTGTAATTAGGATTGATTATCATACGTTCTAAAATGATAGAATTGACATATTTTACAGGATAAAATATACAAAAATACAATTTTTATTTTAATATTTTATATTTCATAAAATAATAGTAATTATAATTTTGATACAAGTAAAATAATTATAATAATTAATCATAAAATATATTGTTCTGTATATATTTATAATTTCGGTATTATAATTTAAAAAATAAAAAAATGTATATGAAATATATATGTATATACATATTTGTAAATATATATGTATTTACTTTAAAAACGTATTAATCTAAAAAGATAAAATTCACTGTTACTTCTCGAATGTTAATCTCGCCTTATTATGGTCAATCTACCCTATATTTATTATAAAATTTGACAATAATAATAATTGTTTTTAAGTAATTATTATATCATTGCTAAAATATTTATATTTTACTTAACAGATAAAACGATACTATCGGTTCCGCTTAAATTATCCACACATATATACCGATTTGCTGGTCACCAAACAGAAGACTGCACTTTGCGCCGGTTTAATATATCCATTGCCGATTCGTACTCAAAAGGGAAGCAGAGTGCTAATAGTCGAAGCCGGAAAACGATGGAAACCGAAGGAGGTGTCGATCAATGACTTTTTCAAAGGCATGTTATTGATTTTATATCTAGCGATGGTGGAATACAAAACTCAGGTTTGGTAAAAAAATATTTCTTTGATAGATTTAAGATATAGATTGGCATTTATTAATACTTAAAATTAATCTTGAATTTTTAGCGAGAGATTTGCATATATTGTAGGGATGTTCCGATCTCCAAAAAAAATCGATCTTTCCAAACGAGAATAGCAAATTTTTTAAATTGATCTAATAAATCTTAAATTGATAATTTTAAATTAACTTTTATAAAAAATTTATAAAAAATTTTATAAAAAATTAT